TTGTTATTCACTGGACTACCTTCCAAAAATCTCTGTAATTCTTTAGTTCGGCAGTAATTCGGCATGTAGTGACAGATCTTAACCTATTGCATCTATTTATATGGGCACCCATTTCTAGGAAAGCACTTGCATTTTAGGTAGCTAAAGGTTAGTTCAGATCATCTGTCAAGTACTTGCCATTTACTCTTTGTCAGTTGCACAGAGCTTTGTTCTGGAGTACCATGAGGCTGACAGGTAAGTCAGCACACCTGTGCAGTGCCATAACTCAAATTAATTTAGGAGAAGGCTTAACCAGCTGTCTAGAGCCATCCTAAACTGAGGCTGAAGACTGCAGCTGAGGAGTTGTGTGATATTTTTTAAGCAAAGTATTTGCATCTGAATAAAATGGCTTCTGACGGAGAGGTTTGGTCGACATGCTCTGGCCAACTGAACTGCAGCAGTTAAAGACATTAAACTCAACCCTTTGCCAGAGATTGCTTTAATAACAAAGCACGAGAACAGGATGTGTATAACACTGTTTTTTTCATAATCTGGTAGCTGCATGGCTACACTGCAAGACAGATCAGACACCTGATCTATCAGAAAAATTATTTTTTAGCTAGGTTGGTTTTCTGACTTGTCTTAGTCTATGACTATCCAAGGGCCGGTTCCAGCTGACGAGAAGGGTGAGAATACATAGTGAAAGGCCAGTTGTAAATATCAGTAAAATGTCACTTGGGAATTGCCCCTGGGTTCTGACCTGCAGTGATTAAGAGATGAAGGCATACATTTTCCTCTGCCCTGACTTAAAAAACTCTGCTTTTGCTAAGCACCCTTAAATAAAACAAAGTTTTGTGAAAGCATATGGGGTTGCAGCTTGGACTTGGGTGTCCTATAGAAATTACGGAAGTGTTCATTGACGTAATTATAATTTAAGTCTTCAGTGTTTCTGATGAGCAGTACACTAAGGTACTACTTTAAAGGTTGCCTGGAAAATGCCAGCAGGATTGGATGTAAGTAGGCAAGCATTATTGAAAGGGAGTCTTGTGTGGCTGGATTTGAGGTGGAAACTGTATGTTGGCTGCCGTCAAATTATACAAAGTCGGGAATTCGGCTAATCTTACTGCAAAAGCAACACTGCTGTTGTTCAGCTGTCTTGGGAACTACGTGCTTTAAATGTTCTTCAGCTTCTGAAATAGTATAGCTTCATGTCTTATTGTGAAAACCATAGATCTAACTGAAACTATTAGTTTGCATGGACTTTGTTGATTTGAGTGGGAACTGCTGAGCACCTGTGGCTAGATGTTACGGAGTAGGAATGATGTTTGTATTGTAGGAGTAATTTGCAATTTCAGAAGCTCTGATTCCAATTCCAGCACCTAAGCTTTCCAGATGAACAAAATAATTTTATTGCTTGCTGGTGACTATAGATCTGTATGAATAAATACCCTGTCTGAAAGTCTACAGGGTAAATCAGATCTACATTCATTGCCCTTGTTTTTTATGCCCCTAACTGCTGAAGGTATTTTGTGTCTGTATAGAAGTTGTAGCTCACTGCAGTGGATTTCCTGAAGTCACTGATGCTTTTTGCAGTTGCAAAACTTAGTCACAGAAGTGCTGCTAAAGCAATTGGTCAGCAGAAGATGAGTCATGTTGACCTGAGTACAAGATGGCCATGAATAACAGCTTTTGCTAGAAGTAAACAAAAAGTGGTAAAGGGAGGATGTCCAGCTCTGCATGGCCTTCATGATTGCTGACTCCTGCTGACACGTACCTGCCTTACTGGTGCCCTGAGACACCTTGGCTGAGTAGACAGTAGATAGCGGGAGGAGTAAGAAGCAGTGGCACAGCAGAGGACAGCAAAACCGGACAAGAATAGCCAGACTGTCTATCCCATTTATGCCTTATCTGCACTTGCAGTGTTTTCTGTAGCATTGAGTTCTTTGCCAAGTGTGTACAATACAATTAATTATCACTCTGTCGGTATCACCTTAAATTAATTTTGCTGGTTTTCATGATTGCAAAACTGAACGATTTATGCTTCCTCCTTACTCTTCACTAATTGCATAACTCCTCATTGCTGAATTAATTTGTCTTCATCTGTCTGTGTGTTTTCCTTATTTCTTGTGTACATATGCTGTAACATTCAAGCAAGAACATAAGTACTTAGTCTGAAGAAATAACTGGTGCTGTGAGTCATGGGCTTCTCTTGCCCCTGACACTTTTCTCCCATCCCCGTGAAGCCTGTGGACCATTTGATAGTTGAGCACTCTTTGGGGCAGAAAGGTTACAATCGGCCCTTTTAAAGTAAATTTACAAAAACAAACAAACAAACAAAAACCCACACAAAACACACCAACACAAAAAACCTCACCTAACATCAATTCAATTTGAGCAGCATATCGTACATTTAATACAATAAGATATGAGTTGCACAAAGGGAGTCTTTTACCTTTCCTCAAAAGCATAATGAAGATAAAAATAAAAATGGTCTGAAAGAAGTAATTTTATTAAGTTAATTTGGACATGGTGTGAATGACCTGGAACTTGTAAAACTTAATCTGCATGCAATTATGAAAAAAAAAAAGCGTAAGGTCAGCCTGATAAAGCCAGTTACATAATGCTGACCTTATTTTTTTAAATTACTTTGCCTAAGAAGATGACAGATCACTTTAGTCTCTATGGAATAACCAAAATTCAGCTTTTATGTTAACAATAGGAATGCAAAGCTTTTATTTTCCCAGAGGTAATTAAAAAGTTTGACATACTGAAGAAAAATAGGATGAGATCAAGTTATAGAAATCTAAGCCAGGATTTTGTCATGGTTTTATTTTTGCCTCCAGACATTAAATACTTCTAATAAAGGATATATTTTAAAGCATGAACTAAAAGCCTAGAGTTCACATTGCTCTCTTTGGAGCTGGGGGAGGCTTGTACAGTTCCATACATTTTAAGTATGGGAAACATGTAACTTTTTTTATTGAAAATCAGTTTTGCAATGATGAAATGTAAAGAACATTCTTCAAGCAACGCAACTTTAGCTTCCGTTGTATGCATCTTTCAGGAAAAACAGTCTTCATACATTCTTTATGGCTTGTGGAAAACTTTGCTTATCTTAGAGAATGATTAGAAATTGCTCTGTATTTGGTTTTGGATAGCTCATCTTTTGGGGTAATTTCTCTCCCTTTCAGACTCACAGATTGACCTCAATTTATTACTTGAATGAGTAATAGAATAACTATTTCTAGGAGGAAGTGCTTTAGTTCTGCATCCTGAATAAAGAGCAATAATGCTACTTATAAATAGTTAAAAATAGTTGTAGTTTTGCACTTTTAGTAATGTTGTTGAAATAAGGGTAACAGTAGTATTCATATTAAAAAGACTTCACTACACTGTACGTGCCAAAGAATAGGCAAAACACAGTTCTCTGTCCTGGTTTAATGCTTCTCTTTTTAGAGGGCCTTCAGTGAAATGTGGTTTTTCTTTTTTATATGGCTAATATCTGAGCAACTTTTATTTTTACCATACTGTTTAAATTCATATATTAATGAATCTTCCATCTCTACTACCTTCTAAGGACTTAGAACATACACAGTTAACTTTTCCGTTTTTCCAAATTCCTTATTTCTTTTTACTGGCTTTTTTTTCTGAAGGTACAAAAGAGGAATTTGTGGGTATTTTCTTCCCTGGTGTCAGAAGGTCTTGAGAAGGGGCTATGTATGGATTTCTCTTCTTTCCTACCATCTTGTAATCTGAAAAAGAGGAGAAGGAGTATTATTACTATTTATTAGAACAGTGACCAAGTAAGAGGTGGTGAGCAGAGGACTGGATTTACTTGGATTAGGCAGTTGGGTGTGACAAACAGAAAAACCAGTGGTATGTTTGTACACTTTTTGCAAAGGTCCAATCAACTGCAGTGAGAAAACCTTCTAGTACAAGAAATGAAGTGTGGTATTAAAGGAATATGTAGAATAATAATCCACAGGAACAGGGGTAAAGTATATGCAGATTAGAAAAGGGAAAAAAAAACAGGTGGTAGGGAAGTATTCAATATTTGGTAGAGTCTGGTGGAAAATAAAATAACTTTTTTTTTTTTTTTTAAAGAAATCATTTTGAAGTTGAATTGAAGATTATTTTAATATATTAAGTCTACAGACTTGGTGAGCTATTGATAATGTTTTAGGAGAGCTGCTTGAAGAAAATTACTATATTTTTTCATGTGTGTAACTTGTGGATTCCCTGTTTAAAGGAAAGAGGTGGCACTGAAAATTACATTAGATGCTTCTTATCTCTACCCACTTTGAATTTTGTGTATTTTATGTTAAAATTGATTTTCATTAAGTAGTAATGACAAGCTATGTGGATGGACTGACTCAAGTTGGTACACAGATGCATAAAAATATATATCTAATACAGATTGATAACTTCAGAAGTGCAGTGTCTTATTTTTATGAAGAAATAGCTAGGGATTCAAAGAGCTTTGAAGATTTATAGATGGAACAAGTCACTGATTTGATCAACCAGAAATTTCAAAATGCATGCCTCAGGGCAAGTGAATGGGAACTTGGAGGGAAAGACTTTAAACTTTGCTGAATGAAACAAGCAAAGTAAAAAGGAAAGTGGGGACTAAATCAGAATTTAAAAAGAAAAGAAGAAAAAGCTCTAGACAGATGTATTTTAAGGGATTGATAGTGTTAACAGTGTTTTTTAATCTTAAGAGTAGACTTGGCAAAAGGATATTGAAGTGAACTAGAAAATATTTATGTAAACATATGGATATTTCTATTAATAAATATATTTACCGTAAGGTCTCTGTAATACTGGCCATAACTGGTGGAATTTCCATTATTGTTGAAGCCAATAAAAATTCTTGCTTGTCTTCAGAAAGTTAATTTCTTCTAAATCTTGTAACTGGAAACAGTAAGAGCATCAATTACCTATAATGTCATATGTTTATGTATCTGAGAAGTGCATTCAAATGCCTAATGTGATCTTTCTTTCTTCCCCTCCTCCTGTTCTAGGAATTGGCTCTCCGGAGCCAGCTTCCAACAATGGAACAAGATGGTGGATCTCAAAATCCCGTGTCATCTCCTGGAATGTCTCAGGAACTGAGAACAATGACTACAAATAGTTCTGATCCCTTTCTTAACAGGTTTGTAGGAGTTGCTACTAGAGGGGAAAAAATTGATTTAAAATTCTGTTTAGTACATGCAATAGTTTATTTTGAACATCTGTCTGTGCCAAAAGCCACAGCTGTAAATGAATCTTTCCTTAAATGGCAAGTCTAGTAAAAGTTGAGGATTAAAAGCTGTCTCCTGTGGGAGGAAATAGTCTGTTCAGACTTGTAGGAAGGTTTTTTATTAAAAGTCATAACATGTTTGCCTCTGCGTAATCTGTTGACTAACAGTCGTTTCAAATTACTGACTCAGAAGAATTTGTGAATAGCTTGTTGTGAGATCAAATGAACTGTGAGGCACATTCAGGACTACACCTTGAGGTTCATTTTAAGGTTTCTCCATTCACTTCTCCCCTCCACTTCAGGTATTTAATTTAGCAGCATTTTTGCTCTGTTAATGTTAGGTCTGCAAATAGCGGCATGTTTAATTTTAAATGCTGTATGACTTCAAAGTGGGTCTTATAATTAAGGATTTAGAGTTTTATAGAATAGGCTGATGTTTTTTGTATAACTTATTCCTTAACCCCCCTGAGTTCGAGTGTTTGTTTTGTGGGAAATACTGTTCTGATTACAGCTTGCAAGTGCTTCATACTAACCATTACAAATTTGGAGTAACTGCTGCAGCTTGAGATAAGACCTAGCTGTAATTTTTGCTTAGCATGCTAGAAAGAAAAGATGAAAATGGTAGAACAGTCAAATCTCTAAGCCACATAAACTTTTAATGGAGCAAAAATCTACTAATATTTTTTCAGTGTCAGGTATTTGATCTAAAGTTGGAGTAGTTAATTTTGTAGTTCTTCATTGGACTGCATTTTGTCAGCATTCAAAAGTGCTCTACCATAAGGGAAAAATTATGTATTCTGTCAGAGTTCATCACTACTTTTCTGCAGTAACTTGAAATGTTAGCCTAATCTTAGGATGGTTGCTGTAACTGAAGTACAACAACATGCTTGTCCTTCTCTTTACTAGTACATGATTATATCATGGAAATACCCATAAAATTCATCTTGATTCTTTCACTGTAAGTCTTAGGTTCCACAGTTTTTGCTACCAATACAGTTTGAAACGTACTTGTAAGGCAAGAATCATACAATGTCTGGGCTGGAAGGGACCTCCAAAGGTCATCTGGTCCAACACCCCTACCATAAGCAGGGACATCTCAAACTAGATCAAGCTACTCAAAGCTTCATCCAGCCTGATCTTGAATGTCTCCAGGGATGGGGCCTCCACCACCTGTCTGGGCAACCTGTGGTCTATCACCCTCAGATTGAATAATTTTTTCCTCACATCTAATCTGAATCTACCCTTTCTAGCTTAAAGCCATTACCCCTCGTCCTGTCACTACAAACCCTTGTGAATAGTCCCTCCCCTGCTTTCTTGTAGGCCCCTCTCAGGTACTGGAAGGGCACTATAAGGTCCCCCTGGAGCCTCCTCTTCTCCAGGCTGAACAACCCCTACTCCCTCTCCCTGTCCTCACAGGAGAGGGGCTCCAGCCCTCTGAGCATTTTTGTGGCCCTCCTCTAGACATGTTCCAACAGCTCCACGTCCTTTTTGTGGTGGGGGCTCTAGAGCTGGACACAGCACTCCAGGTGAGGTCTCACCAGGGCAGGGTAGGGCAGCAGGATCACCTCTCCTCATCTGCTGGCCACGCTTCTTTTGATGCAGCCCAGGATGTGATTTGCCTTCTGGGCTGCTGCTGCACATTGGTGGCTCATGTCCAGCTTCTCATTTACTAGGACCCCCAAGTCTTTTTCCAGTGGACTGCTTTCTAACATGTCCTCTCCCAGCCTGTATTGGTAATGCTGGTTGCCCTGGCCCAGGTGCAGGACCCTGTACTTGGTCTTGTTGAACCTCATGAGCTTCACCTGAGCCCACCTCTCCAGCCTGTCCAAGTCCCTTTGGATGGCCTCCCACCCCTCTGGCACATCAGCTGCACCACCCAGCTTAGTCTTGTCAGCAAACTTGCTGAGGGTGCACTCCATGTCACTGTCTATGTCATTGATGAAGATGTTAAACAACACCGGTCCCAGTATGGACCCTTGAGGAACACCACTTGTCACTTTTGCCCAGCTAGACGTCAAGCCATTGACCACTACTCTCTGGGTGTGACCATGCAGCCAGTTTCTTATCCACTGAACAGTCCACCCATCAAACCCATATCTCTCCAACTTAGAAAGGAGGATGCTGTGGGGGACAGTGTCAAAGGCCTGAGCAAAGTCAAGATAGATGACATCCACAGCTCTTCCCTTGTCCACCAGTGCCGTTGCTTTAAAAACTTCTTGGAAAGAAGTCCACATCATGTTAATACTGGCATGATTTCAGAGGAAGGCAAGCTTAAATGCCAGCCATAATTTTAGATAATGAAAACTGTTTAAAGTCTTTGGAAACTTCTGCTGCAATTATAAATGTCTACCCATATTCTTTTAATGTTGCTGATATCTCACGCTTAGGTTCTTAATCCGCAAAGGTGTACTGTCATTACATGTAACTTTCCAGTTACTGATATTCCATCAGTTTAGATTGCTTATTTCATTTTCTGCCCTTTCCAGGAGACTTCTCTGCCATTTCATATACTCTGTCCTCACTCTAATTCTTAAAATTAGCAAAGTTTGGTGGAGATGGTGCAAGAACATAGCCCTTAGTTTGCCAGTGGAATCCATTGTCATTCATAGTTTAGGTTATGTAAATAAAATCTTATGGTCTTAAGCTTTTCCTTCTACTGCAGGAAGTATTACCTGTGCTAGTGTTGTAAGCTACTGTGAGAGTGGGAGAAAGCTTCTGTCTCAAAGTACACAGTGTTTTGTATACATCAGAGAAAAACAAGTGGAAAAAAAAAACCTTGCACATGAGAAGAGAGTAATGGTGTTCTGTCATTAAACTCCCTACACAGAAAAATCTCATTAGAAAGCTTCATTTTTAGTTAAAGGGAGGGATTCTCCTCCATGGAATTCATCCTGGGATCTGGTGTGAGCCTTAACTGTGCTGGCCCTGTCCCAAGAAATAAAAAGGACAAGAAATCTTAAAACTGACCTGCTCTCCTATGAGAAGCTTCTGTAGCCAGGTAATGGCCTTGATGTGTTACAGTCACATACTAGCTTGACCTTCTGGGAGGCTGTTGCTATAATACACTAAGCCTAGATGTATTTTGAAATTTGTTCTTGAATTATGTAGAATCCTGACAGCTTAAAAACCTGCTTTCTGACCTAAAAGAAAAACATCTGGTTTCAAAGGGCCATGGCAATAGACTAATGCAATTTATCCATTGTGAATCTTACACACAAGAACTATAAAATTATGGATTTTTGCCATTAGTTAAAAAAAGGAAAAAAAATAGAAAGGGCAAATTCATGTCGTTTGTAATTTTTTGGCAGGTAGATAACCAGGAAGATATTTACTGTAAAGTGTGAAAAAAATACTAATGGCCTAGTTGCAAATAGGTTTAATTGTTAGTGGGTTTGTGTGGGGTTTTTTATGTTTTCGGGTTTTTTTGTAGCCTTTACCCCATGCAAAATATGGAAAACCTGTACTTTGACTTGAGCTCAGAATATCTTAATTTGCATTTTGATCTGAGCATTGTCCCCTTCTAGGTAATTTTATGTGCATCATCACACATAATTGTGGCATATGAGTGAGGGAAAGCAATATTTTTTTAAGGACGTTTTTGGCTACGCATTGCTATTTCTGAATTAGATAAAGCACTACAATAGTTATGCCCTAAAGATCTCCTTGATGTGCCTTAGGCTAAAGTTCATACTTCAGAGAAATGCTTCTTTCTGTCTTTGTAGGGTATAGGTAAAGTTTCTGGTGAGATGGTCCTTTGAGCTTTAGGTACCAAAGTTTGATATCCAAAGTTTAGCTAGGCAAACAAAGTTTGCCAGCATAATCAGAACATCCAAAAAATCTCAGAAAATAATTGCTACATTGAAAAATTTCTAATTTGAGAAAATGTACAGTAGTGTTTTCATTTACATAGTCTTCTGCCTGTTCTCTTCACTACTTAGTGTCATTGTGGTGTATTTTATTTTTTGAATGGGGCATCCAGCTCTGCAGACTTAGACAATTTTACCTTTTTGCTTTGTCACTCTCATTATATATTTTTATTAGTTACATTGATAGTGATGGCAGTTCTGTTTAACTCCTAAACTGGGTTGTCTTCTGTTGTATACACACATTTTAACATGCCATTTAGTTGCCTGCAGCAATTTGCAGTGGTGTGATTACTAAAGGAAGAAATCCTTGCTGAAGAAATAGGATGTGTATTTAGGAGTGAGTTGGAGAGAAAGGCTGGACTTTCCAAGTGTGAGAGCAGCAGCCAAAAAGCTTTCTCAGTTAGTGATTTAGTTCAGCAGAGTCTTGGTTCTGTTTTTAGTACTTTGTCCCACAAAGTAAACCAGCATTTATTTTCACAGAGGTTTTAAATAACTTAATTATTAGGATCATTATCAGATGTGTGCTGAAACTATTTTTTAATCAATCTACTAAAAAAAATATTTATGATTTAACTATAAAGAAATGTTAGGTTCCTTTTTTGTATGGCAAAGATGTCTTTGTGAAATCTAATTTTTTTTTTTCCATGGCTGGTGCCATTCTACTGGCATATAATGTTGAATAGCTGTTTAACCAGCATCTGTTTGGTTCTTCATACTTGAGAAAAAGGCATATGTGATAGACTTCACAAGGACATTATAAACATCAGTATGTCTTCAAATGCTAATTTGAACTGTAAGTCAAGTTGATCTTTGTCTAGTATTCAAGCTGGAAAATCTGTAAGAGTTTTCAGTGAGTAGTACCATAACCTGAAGAAATACAGATTTTGCAAATATTTTATGAAGTTTGGATATTAGGACATGCAGCGGGAGGGAGGCATTCGTGTGTTTCTGCAACTGCTTATGCAGGCCACAGTTCCTGCCACAAAACCTCCTGCCTGGGCCCCTCTCCATGGGTCACAGCTCCTTGCAGGAACCTGCTCTATCATA